GGGTCCCCGGGCTGGGGGTGAGGTGAAACCTCTTGGTTTCCTCGCAGGAGCCTGGGGTGTCTCTTGTGTCCCCTCTGCTTCACCTTCCTCCCTCCGTGTTCCCACAGATTGCCTGGGGACTCCCATTGTCTACTCACCGGTCAAGGCAGACCTGAGTGGGAATATCAAGGTAGGAGGGGGTGCAGGAGGGCTCGGGGGGGTGATCCCTCAGACACTGGGCTTGGAGAGGGAAGGGCTGAAGGTGTTTGAAAGGGCTTTTCTTCCCCTGGGAGCTTTGGGGCTGAGCAGTGGCTCCTCTCTGGTGGCCTGTGCCCGATGGCTCCCTGGAGCCAACCCCCCTTCTCTGCCCTCCCAGAAAATCCGGGCGGTTTATGACTCCAACCCCACCAAGTTCAAAACCCTGCAGAACATCCTGGAGGTGGAGAAGGAGATGCACGGCTCGGCCTGGCCCAAGACGGGAGCGACACTGGCCCTGATGTGGCTGAAAAGGTGATGGATGGGGCTGGGGGGGCTGCTCCAGGCTCGTCCTGGGACACAGGGACACCAGGCCCTGGCTGGGGTTTGCTGCTGGAGTGATGGGTTTTGTTGGAGCCTGGATGTGCCAGGTTCTGGGGGTGAGCCTGGAAAGCAGCCTCCCCTTCCCCACCCTGACATCTCTGCCGTCCTCACAGGGGCCTGAAGTTCATGCTGGTGTTGCTGCAGAGCATCTCGGACGGCGAGCGGGACGAGGAGCATCCCAACCTCATCCGGGTGAACGCCGTGAAGGCCTATGAGATTGCCCTGAAGAAATACCACGGCTGGATGCTTCAGAAGCTCTTCATGGTGAGAGTTCCCATCTCTGGGGGTGCAGCCACCATCCTCCAGGGGACTCTGCCGGGTCTGCAGACACGGGCAGGCCCCCGGGAACAGCCCAAACTGGGAACTTGCTTGTGGGAAGTGGGTTTATGGGAGCCTTACAGTTTCTATTCCTGTTTTATAGGGCTCAGTCTATGCTCTTCCCTACAAGTCAGACTTGCTGAAGGCGTTAGAGAAGGGTAAGGAAGTCAAAGAGGAGGAAAGCATAGAGAAGATTCATCAGTTTCTCTTGAAGGCCACCCCCATCCTGGATGCAATCTATGAGATGTACACAAAGATGAACGCTGAGCTGAGCTACAAAGCCTAAAGCTCACAGGGGACCAGCAGGGCTTAAAATAAGGTGTGACAGGTGCTACTGGCCTCTTCACCACCGAGGCAGCTCCTGGCTCCTGTCAGGTGGTGTTTGCTTCTCAGCTGGATTTGCAGTGGATAACCTCTTTTCTAAAAACAAACAAACCAACCCAGATAATAATAATAATAATAATAATTTTCTATTGAGAATGATGGCAATAAACCACTTGTACCCCACGTCACCGTAGGGTTGCCCAAGCTTTTGTACTAAAGAGGAAAAACAAGTGCTTCTGGTGTAACCTCCTGGCTCCCGTGGCCCCGGGGACGAAGCGTGGCCGGTGGGGACGCTGCCCTGACCCCTGCACCTCGGCTGCCCCCGGTGTCCGCCCGACGTCCCTTCACCCCGGCTGAGAAACCTCCCGAATGATGCCGGCGGGTCCTC